TTATATCGCGCAATTCTGAGTTTATATGCATGCAATTCTGAGTTTATATCACGCTATTCTGAGTTTATATCGCGCAATTCTGAGTTTATATCACGCAATTCTGAGTTTATATCGCCCAATTCTGAGTTAATATAGCGCAATTCTGTTTTTTAATTTCTGCCACGAAATAAAAAATAATTGCAACTTTTTATCTTACAATTCTGACACTTTTTTCTTCTTTTTTTCTTCTTCTCAGAATTATATTATTATATAATAGTTTTAAATTGCCAGAATTTGATAGCTGAGACTTTAATTCTTATCAAAGTTAGAAAGCACAAAGCTTATAGCGATTATTGGATGGCAGGTGCTACAAATAATGTTTAGTGAAGCTTTGTTACTTATCTGACCATCATCAGTTTGTAGCAGTGAATGACGAGGTATCATATCGATCACAAGTACAGTATGGCGTACCACAAGGCTAAGTACTAGGACCGTTGCTTTTCATACTTTACATGTTACCCGGCCTTGGGAGATATCATCAAGAAACATGGTGTTAGCTTTCATTGTTATGCTGATGATACTCAGCTCTATATTTCTTCGTGGCCTGATGAAACATACCAATTTGCAAAACTAACGGAATGCATAGTTGATAAACATAGTTGCAAAACATAGTGCACAGACACTATTGGAAGAGAGCTGAACAGGATGATGACATCACTGAATCATCAATGAACTGACTTTAGCTGAAATATGACTCTGTTATTGTCTTCTTGCATTATTGCAAGAATTATATCTATTTTCCTGTTAGACTCTGTAAAGCTGCTTTGACACAACCAGTATTGTATAAAGCGCTATACAAATAAAGATGACTTGACTTTGTTCGCATATCCACTAAATATATAGACTAAAACAAGAATCGGTATTGGTTCATCAAAATGAAGATAGATTTAAAATGGTGTATATAAAACACAGTTTTTATATTCTTAATTTTCTTATTTTTCATGCTTTTTTTGTTGCATTATTAATTTTTTCATTGTGTTGTTGATCCATAATTAAACCATGTAAGGTTCACACACGTTCACACCTCATTCTCCCACAACTGATATGTACCTTGATGGACAGAAAGTTGAGCTGGCTCTCGTTGGCTAGCGCTTTAGCGATCATGGTTTTGGAGCATCCCGGCGGTCCGTACAGCAGGACACCTTTAGGTGGCGTTATACCCAACCTGCTGAAGGCCTCGGGGTGCCGCAGGGGCCATTCGACCGCCTGCTTCAGCGCCAGCTTCACCTCCTCCATCCCACCGATGTCACTCCACCGAACCTACAAACACACACAGAGCTGTTTGTGAGACGGTTTGATTCATTTGCATTACAGGATCTAAAGCTTGAGCTGTGATTGGCCCATCAATCTGTCAGTCTGAATGCTGATAGGTCAGTCTGATAACCACAGCATGTGAAAGTCTTCAGATGAACACTGTACCTTTGGCACGTCGATGGCCACCTCTCTCATCGCGCTTGGTTTGACCTCTGTCATGGCCAGTCTCAGGTCAGAGGTCGTGACCTTTACACTGTTCATCACCTGGACATCAGAGAGAACAGGCTTGGATCCTAAAACCCTCCTCAGCGCGTGAAGACCTGCAGAAACACACAACATGAACAGACCATCACAGATCAACACTGACAACATTCAGAAACGTTTAGATATTAATGGTCAAAAAATGTGGAATAATTAAGATTTGTAATGTTTTCGAAGGAAGTCTCTTATGTTCACCAAGACTATGTTTATTTGATTAAAAATACAGAAAAATACAGTAAAAATGTATGAAATATTATATTATTATTATTACGATTTAAAATATTTTCTATGTGAATATCTGTTAAACTGTCATTTATTTCTGTGATGTGCAGCTGTATTTTCAGCATCATTACTCCAGTCTTCAGTGTCACATGATCTTCAGAAATCATTCTAATATGCTGATTTGCTGCTCGAGAAACATTTCTGATTATTATCAATGTTGATGCTTAAAGACTTTTATTCATCAGGGACGCATTAAATTGATCAAAAGTGACAGTAAAGACATTTATAATTCTACAAAAGCTTTCAATTTCAAATAAATGCTGTTCTTTTGAACTTTCTATTTATCTGTGAATCCTGAAAAATAAAATATATCACAGTTTCCACAAAAATATTGGGCAGCACAACTGTTTTCAACATTGATAATAATCAGAAATGTTTCTTGAGCAGCAAATCAGTATATTAGAATGATTTCTGAAGATCATGTGACACTGAAGACTGGAGGAATGATGCTGAAAATACAGCTTTGATCACAGAAATAAATGACAGTTTAACAGATATTCACATAGAAAACAGCTGTTTTAAATTGTAATAATATTTCACAATTTTACTGTATTTTTGATCAAATGGTGAGCAGAAGAGACTTCTTTCAAAAACATTAACTATTCCACACTTTTGACTAGTAGTGTATTTCTCTAGTTTCATTTATATTTGGGCTGTTTGGACTCTAAAAGCAGAAAAGCACAGCATTAACAGACAAAAACAGCTGAATTTATGGTGTAAATAGATCTAACTGGAAAACTGAGAGCGAAACATGAGTAAATTATGACGGAATCGTTGTAACACAAGCACCAGCTCTCTCACACACACACACACGCTCGCGCTCGCGCACACGCACACACACACTCACTCTCACTCTCTCTCTCTCTCTCACACACACGCACTCACAAACACACACACACCGGACGGATAATAAGACAGCTGAAGAGGTTTCTTCTGCTGAATCCAGCGAGAGTCGCGGGTTTAAACTCTGTTTGAGTTGGTTTATTTGAGAGCAAACATCCCGCAGGCTTTCTTCCGCTCCGACACAGAGTAAACATCCGCCGCGCTGATCGCATGTGAATCAAGCCTGACCTGCTGCTCTCTCTGGACCTCAGACGAGGACGAACAGGACTCACAAACACCAGCCAAGGACAGAAACCAAAGTGGAACAGAGAGGAGCATAAGAGTCCAAGAGCCTCTGCTTCCAATTAAAAACAGATTACCTGGAAATCCAGCTTAAATAATCATGAACACTGGGTCAAAAAACAGACAATCAGAGATTACGGTTTATAAAGTTGTAAATATGGATATTTTTCTTACAAAAACGCATCGACTCGCTTCAGGAGGCCTTTGTGCCATGTGGGACACTTTTCATGATGGACTGACGCAGTTTTTTGGGCTTCAAAATCTCAGCACCCATTCACTGCCATTACAAAGCTTGGAAGAACCAGGATATTTTTTAATATAACTCAGATTTTATTCGTCTGAAAGAAGAAAGTCATATACACCTAGGATGGCGTAAATCATGGGGTAATTTAAATTTTTGGGTGAACTATCCCTTTAACTGTTCTTTCTATTCATCAAGGAGAAAATTAAGTCCTGTACTACATTTATTCTGACTAATATGTAAGCATTACATTGCATATGTAAAAAGGCTTCTGAATGCTTTTTTCGTGTATTATGCTTGTGATGACATTTAAAGTTGAAGGCAGAAAACAGACGAAACATAAAACCATTAAAAGATGATTGAAGAAAGAAAGGAAGAAGAGAAGAACAGCAGAGAAACTGAGCAAAGCAGGGATGTTTCAGATCTTTCTCGTGTCTGTATTAACACACACAGCTGCGGTAAAGAAACAATACCGGCGCTTACATAAAATAAGAACGAAAGAGCAAACTCCAGAGGGAAACAAGGACACACACGCGTGTCACAAAAGCTTCCGGGTTTATAAACAGGACACACATATAAACCCGGCATGGAGATTGTGTCCGAATCTCGTCTGGCTGTAAAAGGAAAGAGCGAACAGAGAAACACTTTATAAGGAAGAAACCGTGATTCATGCACACTACAGCTGTTTATTCTCCTTTAGGGTCGTTCAGTTGATTTATACCAGCTGCTTCTCTTCTGCCTTTACTTCATGAAAGATAAAGCCAGACAAACACATCTCAGATATTCACACATCTCAACATAAACAAACTACAGTAAAAATCACCTTCCCTGCATGACTGAAGCGTCTGTGTTCATCCCAGATGAAGAGGAGTTTGTTTCTTCATCAGGGCAAACTGCTCAGTCTATTTTTACATCTCTCTCTCTCTCTCTCTCTGTGTGTGGCTGCGTGTCTCACAGGAAGTGATGTTGTCTGCAGGTCATTGTGACCCGAGGAGGAAGCACCAGTCTTGAAGACACATTCAACATTGAAAATAAGAGCACAAACACAAACATCTGCAGCGGAGAGCCAAGCGCATAGTAATCGCACTGATTTCGATATAATTACCATTAACTGTGCAGCTCTAGCACCTGGATTATTTTTCATTTTCCTTTCATTTCTCTTTCTCCACGTCCTATTCATAACCCATGCATTTCTGTGTGAGCTCTTCAGGATGGAATCCACACATACTGAGCACACAGATGTCAGAGGTCAAACAGCTGTGTTTTATAAGAACACTCACCAGCTTCCTTGCAGACGGCGGCGAGGTCGGCTCCCACGTATCCATGCGCCGCGTCGGCTAGTTCCCGGAGCTCTGCGGCGGAGACGTCACACGGCATGGAGCGCAGCTGCTTCTGCAGGATATCCATCCGCCCGTCTGCGCCGGGAACGCCGATCTCCAGCTCCTTATCGAAGCGCCCGGGCCGCCGCAGCGCCGGATCCAGAGCATGAGGACGATTAGTGGCTCCCAGAACCAGCAGCTGCCCGCTGTGACCCTCCTGAGCACAGAACACAAATGTGACCCTGGAGCACAAAAGCAGTGTTAAGTCGCTGGGGTATATTTGTAGCAATAGCCAACAATACATTGTATGGGTCAAAATTATACATTTTTCTTTTATGCCACAAAATCATTAGGATATTAAGTAAAGATCATGTTGCATGAATATATTTTGTACATTTCCTACTGTAAATATATCAAAACTTAATTATTGATTAGTAATATGCATTGCTAAGAACTTCATTTGGACAATTTTAAAGATGATTTTCTCAATATTTTGATTTTTTTGCACCCTCAGATTCCAGATTTTCAAATAGTTGTATCTCAGCCAAATATTGTCCGATCCTAACAAACCATACATCAATGGAAAGCTTATTTATTCGGCTTTCAGATGATGTATAAATCTCAATTTTGAAAAATTTACACTTATGACTGGTTTTGTGCTCCAGGGTCACAGATGACAACAACGACACACTTTAAATATTCACGATAATCTGCTTTGAGGTGCATGACATGCTGTACTTCATCTAAAATTATTTGCAACGATATTATTCTAATCTCTGAATAATTATTATTACACATTCAGTTTATAAGCGCATGCATGCAATATTTGCACTTTTAAATTAATGTCACCACCATTTGAGCAAAACAAACAAAAAAATGATTCAAAGAAAGAAATAATTTTCAGACCACAGGAATATTTAAATGAGCTGCAAAAAAAAAAAGTAAATAATGAAGAAGAAAAAAACACTTTCCCTCATACATATTAATTACACGTGTCTCTTGAAAGTATTAATTGTGATTGGTCAATTGTGGCATTCTGTGGTCAAATATATTTGCATATTAATGATATAATAACTGTATATTATAATGAAATAACTCAACTCAAGCAGTGTTTTCCTTTAGATTGAACTTAATTAAAATGCTAAAAACACACAAAAAATAGATATAAACCAGGGTTATTATTGTTAACTATAACTATAACCATAAAAAAATGTTAATTTAAATGAAATAGATGTTAACTGAAATAAAATAAAATATTTAAAAAATGTAAATAAATGTAATATTATTTCAGACAGTATTATTTCTCTCTTTTTTTAAGTTTAAATTGAAGTACTAAAATAACTAAAACTGAAATAAAAATTAACTAAAATTAACTAAAATCACCAAAATTTTAACTAAAAAAATAATTTAAAAAAACCATACAGACATATAAAAAATGTAAATAAAATGAAAGCAGTAAAAATGACAAGTCACAACAAAATCACAAAAATTTTCATTCAAATGAAAACCTGAAAATATAAAAATATCAAACGAATTAATTAAAAACCATAATCGTTTATATCCATGATATTAAAATAACTTAAAATAACTAAATAATATTTCTTTTTTGAAGAAATTACATAATCAGAATCTTGGATATTAAGCAATCACAAAATGAATCATGATCAATTAAATTAAATTAAATGTGATTATTTAATTTATTTAATATTTCAACACTCACAGTTTCTGTTAATAATTTTTTTTTTATATAAATAATATAAAATATCGCAACATAATAGCCATCTAATAACGGTGTTGGGGCCTTTGAGAGCTGCTGATCCAGAGTTCAGAGTCTCTTGAGATCCTGCAGATTCAGTAATGTTCTCTAGAAACAGACTCAAGTCAGAAACGGTCAGATACTCACAGATCCGATCCCGTCCATGAGCGTCAGCAGAGTGGCCACGAGCCGCTTCTCCACTTCATTCTGAGCTCCTTCTCTCCTGGGACACAGAGCGTCCAACTCATCGATGAAGATGATGGCAGGCTGCCTGTCACACACACACACACA